ATGGCACAACCCGCGTTATTATTTTATATATTCATATATCTACACATTTTAGACACACATAGAACACTACTAGTTTGTAAAGTCACTACGGTAAAGGCTTCAAGGGAAAGTAGTGTTTACTGCACCGAGTTAGAGTTCAAGCCTTTGCCATATAGTGGAGGGGAGAGTAAAGCGGTTTATAGAAGTGGTGAGCCCGATCCCTCACGACCCTCGCGACTCACAGGTACGTGGATTCACCTGAAAATGAAGAAACCCATTTAAGCTATTGAATGATGTGCCATATATATTTGTTTGAGTTACTTCTCTACAAAATAAATAGAAATATTCCAGATATTTCAACTTATAACTCAAACAAATTCTTTTTTAGTGACAATTTTAAACGCCTGTAATTTTAATATACATTCTAGATACTGAAGATAATGTTCTCCAGATATTTGATAAATTCGTTTAAAAAATTTGAAAAATAAAAAAAAATTGTGAGCTATTTAACGGTTTTTATAATTAAGGTAAGCTATTCTAAAACTTATCAAAAGAATTGTATTTGTCTCAAGCATTTTTTTAATTTCGTTATTTTTGATCATTGTCTTTTCCAGAGAACATTATATAAAAAAGTTAATAAAAACTCTATATGCAAATAAAAAAGGCGTTTAAAATCAACAAGTGGCATGTGTGATGTGCGAAGCGGGCGATATACAGCGTGATGTTAGCGAGTGACATGAACAGTTAGGGTTGAACCAAATGCACCTTTTTGTCATTCATATTTCCGTAGCAGGACATTTGAGAATCGACGTTCGTCAACCCTATTTACCATTTAGGTAAAGTTCATACTTTTAAACACAATTTCTGAATAAATTTAGTACAATTTTGATACAACCCATAACCAAAGAGCAAGGGAACAATTAAAATAGCAAACATTTTTACACATAACACACCCCACGAAAAGAAAAACATACAAAAATGAATCCTCCATCATCAAATGAGCAACAGAAAACAAAAATCACCAAACAGACAAAGAGTATAAAAAAGCATAAAACATAAAATTTTATTTTCCGTCTCATTTAATAATAGGTAAAACGAGAAACTGTTATATTTAAAAAAAAAAAGACATGCACACAAAAAAAACACAGACAAAAACATTTACCAAGAAAACAGAACAAATTAATATTTAAACATTAGTATAGGATATACTTGGGGGCGACAAGCGGTGAATGAAAATAAAAAAAAGTCACAATTAACACGTGCTATATAAATTTAATACAGTATGTCAAATAATTCTTTTGTCACATTAAACTTTCAAGAGAAATCAATTACATATTTTTAACAAGATTTTGTCAGAATTTTTTCACATACTGTATTTTTTTTTGATATTTAAAATGAATGTTATTGACATGTATTCAATGACAAATAATGTATTCAAAGTTTTGTATAGACAATGATTGTTTGAAAATATATGCAATATTAAAAAAAAATTATTAACATAGTACGACCTTTATATCATTAGGGCTGTGATTACGTGTTATTTAGAAATACATATTTACAAGTTTTTATGAGACCGTGCAAATGTATGTGTTTGAATACAAACAAGTTTGGTTAAGTCCTAGTACAGTCGCGGAAACCAGCAGTGATAAAATTAGATTTACCTTGTTTTAGAAAAAACTTTGCAATTTTAGAAAAAAAAAATTCTGTGAGTTATGAAAACGGCATATTAAAGAGCTGTCTTCTGTTATTGTTACGAGTCTCAATATGTACAGGTTCACTACAGTCTTGAGTCTTTTTGAGTTAGAATACTGCCAAATTCCCCGACTGTACTTGACTACGTGTGTCATATGGTCATGTATGTATGTATGTATGTATATATTTACGTGTGCGGCGCGTCGTCGGGCGACAGCTGGCGGTAGCGGCCGACGCGCTCGCAGCCCGGCCCTGCCACCACCCACAAGTTAGCGACCCACTGTGCTTCCCACACAATACACTTGTATAACACTATTTATTTTTTAAAAAAACACAAAAAAAACCCACTTGTAACCCATTTATGACACTCTTGAGAGGAGTGCCAATAGAATGACACCTTATTTGTTAAAATCCGTCCATTAATTTAAGCTACATGATGTTACAAACTTATATATGTGAAAAATATTACCTTAGTAAATGTTATACAAGTGTGTCGGTAGTGGAATTACTCGTTAATAGGACAAAATAGATAACCCATGTCCTATTTCCTACTAAAAGGTCACAACACGCCGTTTCAAAACAAGAACTAAATTTTGTAAACAAAAATTACTTACGAAACAAAATCACTTTGCAAAATATGATTCAGTTTACAATATTTAGATCATTTGAAACAGCTTATAAAATTCTACATGGATGCGTAAACTGAAAATTAATTAAATAATATTTTTGGGATTGTCCCACCACTAGCTGATAGAGGCTCAGATAGCTTTAAAATGACGTCACTGTCAGATAAGCGAAAAAAAAACGATATTTCCATCACATTTTACTCGTTGAATTGTTATCAGACCACTTACAATTTGGTGGGACAGGCCCTTAATGTTATTAAAATGTATTTTTTTCTTATTAATAAATTTCAGGTGATGATGAAATTGGTCATTTACGCATACATATATAATTTAAGTTTTTATGCATATACTTAATATTAAATCGTGAAAATTATGTTTTTTCTAGCGATAACCAGGATTTTTTTAAATTACCCAAAGAAATGTGAATTAGAGAATAATCCAATATTGGACTTAGAGGCCTTTTCGTTTCTTTGTAATATAACAAATAAATCTATGTGTCCTGTCAATATAATAAATTATATTGAACCTAATATGTTAAATTAAAATATATTCAATTGAAATTAATACGTACTTTAAAATAACTACCAAAATTTCAATTTGTCAATCATACAAATATCCACTAAAAAGATACGAATCGAAATTATAATTTAGAGTAGGAAACAAATCTTCCATTATTGAGACTACAAATTCGAAAAAAATCACTTAAAAATATTTTCATGATGTTAAATAAAAAAAATATACGCAGACTTCATTAAATAGAAAATTATAATGTCTCTCAAGATAAATTTCCAATTTAATTATATTAAAAAATCCTATTCCAGACTTCACTTTCATTCTAATGCCAGATAAAAGGTTCTTAGTAAATTAGCTATCGGTTTAAGAGATCATCCGTACGGATATTGCCAATACCCCAAAATATAACAACTTACTACCTAACAACAATTATTACATAAAAAAAAAACTTAAAAACTAAACGCCACATAAGTCAAAAGTACTTCGACAAATACCTAACCGATATATTCAAATTACATAATTAATTAAACAAAAATATGCACAGAATACCTAAATTCAATCAGTAAATCAAAAATTGAAGTTTTTTGTCTATGGTCGTACAAAATGTCTATGGTCATTGTCAAAGTGACATTGACAGATGTGACATAACCTTTTTACGTACGCACTCCGTATGCAATATAACTATTCGAGCGGTTCTACAATCTGCTCATTAAAAGACACCAAAACTTTAAAAATACTTAAGTTTCTTGTAACGTTGATGTATTATTGTGAATGTACCAAGATTTAAGGCAGAAAATTAAAAATTCAATTATTTATACATTTAAGTCTATTGGTGCCGGCACCAGTGAAACAACAAGGATTTTATGGCAGTTTTTCGTCATTGACCTGCTAGTTTTTAGAGGTTACCAGTAAGGAAAAACCTAGTTCTATCGAAGTTCTCCCATATTAAAGATAAAATCAAACTATATGCTCATGATTCCAAACAACGACGAGGTAGAGCACCTTTTTGTTCATAATTGTGTTTAGAATTAGCAACGAATAATCAAAACTTAACATCACTTAGAATAAAAAACTATGTTATCTAGCACTTGTGGCATTTTTTCTTTAATTTGGAAATAAATCATCATTTCATTGGTCAAAAATATGACACTTCTAGACATTATTAGTTCAAAAAACTGCC